TTTTTGGGCATAGTCTAGAGGTTTTAAATCGATTCCTGAGTCTTTTGAGTTTTTACTATGGCTATCTAGACAGGTTTTGGGGTCTTATCAGAACTTTCTGCAGGGGCTGCTCTAAGATACTTAAAAGGAGTTGGGAAGCGCTTCAAAATTCTACGCGGGACGTAACGTACTAGAACTACCCTTTTCTGACAATTTAGGTCCCCACATTCTGGGAGGTATTTTTTTAAATTATTCCGTCATCCATGCCATTTATTTTTTAGTCCTCTCATTGAGGGCTGTGGTATCTCATCCTCGAGGTGTTGCTCATAGATTATTTTTTAACTTCAGGGACCTTTAAATGTTGACTTCACCCCTTATTACCAAGTGTAGATGTGGAATTTCTAGGTTGCTCTCTGTTCTCATTTGTTTTCCCTTTTTTTTAAAAAAAAAACATTCAATGTGCTTTAGTGATTTAAGGGTACAGAAATGGAATATATTCATGCAAAAATTAGCTCTGTATATAAGTTGGCCGAGCTATTAACTAAATCTTGTTTGTTCAAGTAGCCGCTCAAACCTGAAGATGGTGTCCAAAGTGATCCGGGTCCGAACAACTTCTCACAATGTAAATATTAAACTAGTAGAATAAATTATTGTTTGTTTACTCTATTTCATTTTATCAAGGTGTAATTACGTAACATTATTTTTCATCCCATTGTTTTCGATTGCCAAAGACATTTTTGTATAGTTTTTGTTAGTTTTTGTGTTGCGTAGAACGTTGCGAAAGTAGTTAAATTCCTTTAAATTTACGTATTTATGTAACGATATTTTCTGCATCAGAAAATATTCACGTTGTTAAATGTTGCGCATGTTTAAAGAGGAAACAAGTACCTAATGATCCTTGTACAACTAAATTGAACGTTTACTGTAGGTATAAGTTTTTCCGAAACTCCTATTGTACTTGCCAGTGGTACTAGAAAAGTATGTAGTTTTATGTATCCGAGTTCTCTCTGTTCACAAGCCTTATTTTAGTTTGTACTGAAGACTACGTAGCCTGAACACCTAAATGGTACAAATCGCAGAGAGTTGTACAAGGATTTACAAGCTATAAAGGATGTGTTTAATCTACAAATAAAATAGCACATTGAACCTTCAGTTGGTTTGTACTTAAATTGAAAATAAACAACTTCATAAGTGTTCTTCAACAAATACTAGTTTAGGTACAAATTTCTTTGTGGATATTTTTGTAAATGAAAGTAAATGATACAATGTTACGATTTTGGAAAGGTGTACATATCTGTCCTATCAGTTTCGAATTCAACATAGTATAATATAGTAGTAGTTAGTAGAGAGTAACCTGTAAATAATAACTGTTTAGATTATTAACGATGACATGTAAATATTTTTACTTTATTATTGTATATAGTATTTTAAGAACTGTCCTGTCACATCTACCGTCATTATTATGTACAATCAAATAGATTATATTTATTTGATATTTACTCGATAATAAAGATTTGTGAACTGATTTTAATTTATTAAAATTATACTACATACAGAAGCACCTTTAGTTATAGTCCAAGATCTCACATAAGCACCCGTTACCTAGTGAATTACATTCTTAACAATTTTAATGATGTGTAAAGAAACATTGGAAATGGGTTGCCTAAAAAAATTAAGTCAAGACTACCTTTAATTAAACTTAATATACTTAATGAATGAATAGTCACTAACTCTAGGTACGTAATTAAAAGATAAATTGTACTTTATTTTGCACTTATTTATTTTTATTAGGCTCACATTTCCAATTGTAATTGAAGGTAAAATGAATCTGAATATGAAAAGTTCCACAAGAACATTGAGGCAAATACTAACAAAATATTCTGTCGATTAATCTTTGAGAAGCAAACGCATTCTGCCAAGGAAGACAAGAATTTAAAATCTGCTACAGATATACTTCCTGAGAGATGTATTAATTTCCTTAGATATAAATTGTATGAAAATATTCCAAGAGGTTCGAATTTGAGAAAAGGGCAGGTCTGTTTAGGTTGGTAATGAGTTCTATTTTCAAAAAAGGTTTAAAAATGGCCCCAATTGTCAGTAAATGGATAATTTAATAAAATTTTCTTCAACTAAGGAATTGATCAATCAACAACTATTATTGCATTTGTGGATGCATCATTGTTTGGGATTAATTATTTAAATTATTGTATTTATTTGTCTTTCCCATAAATAAAAATTTGTTGGGAAAGACAAATACAATCATTTGAACAACTAGTAATGGTACTTGAACCCCATTTCATTGCATTGCGATAAGCAAGTATATTCGATGAACTAACATGCCCCTGCGATTAGGCAACACACCTTTCACAATTGAAAGAATACTGATATGGAGAAAATACGTTCAGTATATATGTCGTAGGCATATTGTAAAATCAGTCATGTTATAATACGCCTAGGCAGTTTATAAAACGCGGGCAGTGTACTTTCTAGAGGTAAGCGATTGGTTCCCTTCCTCTTCAAGAGCGATCCCTTACGCATCTAGAAGGGGAAGGAAAACTACCCCAACCCCACAAGTCAGCATTTCACGAAATGACTCCGCAATTTAGAAATGACGGATTTTACAAAATGCCTACGACATAAAACTGCCTAGGCGTATTATAAAATGACTGATTTTACAATATGCCTACGACATATACAGCAATTATTCTATCCCGCTGCCGAAGAACAGGGAGATTACACAACGAAGCTTGGGGGCAAGTTAGCGGGATTCGAATCCGAATTATGAGTAGAAATGGCAGGTCTAGCGTTAGGAGATTTGTTTTATATAGTTTTGAAGATCTTGTCAGATAGGCTCCATTTCTCCATATACGGAGTAAACCGATTTCTGGTACTTGTCATGACTCTTGCCGATCCACATCAACTTGAAATTTCAAAAAACACCATTAAAAAGTCACAGGAAGGTTATACACTGCCTTTTGTTGAGGCCCGAAGAAAAAATTGTCTGAGATCGACCGGGAAAAAACATTTTCTTATAGAATAGGACCTGTAGAATCCATAATTTCAAAAGGTCCAAGATTGGGATACTAGTTCAAAAGTTACAGCTCTTTGAATTTTCTTTCGAAATTGGTTTTTAGTCTATAACTTTTGATTGAGAAGTCTAATCGAAAAAGTACGAATTGTTATGGATTCTACGCCCCAAAATTAATAAGAAAAAGTGTTTTCCCGAAAAATTTTGGTGTAGTCGATTTGTGGTAAAAAAGGAAGGTTATACACTGCCTTTTTTTGAGGCCCGAAAAAAAATTTGTCACAGATCGACCCGGAAAAAAAATTTTCTGTTAGAATGTGGTCTGTAGAATCCATAATTTCAAACAGTTCCAAGATTAGACTACTAGTTCAAAAGTTACAGCCCTTTGAATTTTTTTTCGACATTGGTTTCTAGTCCATTACTTTTGATTCTGATCGAAAAAGAACGAATTATTTTGGATTCTACGCACCAAAATTAATAAGAAAAAGTGTTTTCCCGAGAAATTTTGGTGTAGTCGATTTTTGGTAAAAAAGGAAGGTTATACACTGCCTTTTTTGAGGCCCGAAAAAAAAATTGCCTCAGAACGACCCGGAAAAAATTTTTCTTATAGAATGTGGCCTGTAGAATCCATAATTTCAAACAGTTTCAAGATTGGGCTACTATTTCAAAAGTTACAGCCCTTTGAATTTTCTTTCGAAATTGGTTTCTAGTCTATAACTTTTGATTGAGAAGTCTGATCGAAAAAGTACGAAATGTTTTGGATTCTACGCACCAAAATTAATTAGAAAAAGTGTTTTCCCGAGAAATTTTGGTGTAGTCGATTTTTGGTAAAAAAGGAAGGTTATACACTGCCTTTTTTTGAGCCCCGAAAAAAAAATTGTCTCGGATCGACCCGGAAAAAAATTTTCTTATAGAATGTGGCCTGTAGAATCCATAATTTCAAACAGTTCCAAGATTGGACTACTAGTTCAAAAGTTACAGCCCTTTGAATTTTCTTTCGAAATTGGTTTTTAGTCTATAACTTTTGATTGAGAAGTCTGATCGAAAAAGTACGAATTGTTTGGGATTCTACGCACCAAAATTAATAAGAAAAAGTGTTTTCCCGAGAAATTTTGGTGTAGTCGATTTTTGGTAAAAAAGGAAGTGTATACACTGCCTTTTTGAGGCCCGAAAAAAAATTGTCTCAGATCGACCCGAAAAAAAAATTTTCTTATAGAATGTGGCCTGTAGAATCCATAATTTCAAACAGTTCCAAGATTGGGCTACTAGTTCAAAAGTTACAGCCCTTTGAATTTTTTTTCGAAATCGGTTCCTAGTCTATAACTTTTTATTGAGAAGTCTGATTGGAAAAGTACGAATTGTTTTGGATTCTACGCACCAAAATTAATAAGAAAATTTGTTTTCCCGAGAAATTTTGGTGCAGTCGATTTTTGGTAAAAAAGGAAGGTCGTACACTGCCTTTTTTTGAGGCCCGAAGAAAAAATTGTCTCAGATCGACCCGGAAAAAAATTTTTCTTATAGAATGTGGCTTGTAGAATCCATAATTTCAAACAGTTTCAAGATTGGGCTACTAGTTCAAAAGTTACAGCCCTTTGAATTTTTTTTCGAAATTGATTTCTAGTCTATAACTTTTGATTGAGAAATCTGATCGAAAAAGTACGAATTGTTTTGGATTCTACGCCCCAAAATTAATAAGAAAAAGTGTTTTCCCGAGAAATTTTGGTGTAGTAGAGTTTTGGTAGAAAAGGAAGGTTGTTATCGTTTGTGTTGTACCTATGATATGGTTTTCACGTTCGACGCGAATAAAAAGCTCTTTAGGAAAAATCACACGTTTAGAAAACGTGTGGTTTTTCGGAAATGGCACAATATTGATAGTCACGTCTCATTATACTAGCTATACCCCAACTCGGCCACAGAGGTTTCAAAAATTATATCATTAAAGAGACGTATCTTGTGGCATAAGAACACAGCGATGTACTTATATATAAGTAGGTAGGTATTTTAACGTATTTATTTGGAATTTTTTGTTATAATTATAGTACACTCTGCAAAAATGGGCTGAAGAGATTTTGTACAGATTCTTAGACCACTTTGTCTCACTATTACGAGGCCTAAGTCCTTATTGTTACTTTTGAAAAGAGATTATATCCTGAAATGTATATAGTCATGGCTTATTAGGTGAAAATGCTCCACAAGGAATTTTCTTCACCATCCGCTTCTATTCTGTTTTGCATTTTAATGCGATTGATCTAAAGCTCTGTACCAATCCCCACTTGAATGATTCTTCAACATAACTACAATCTTATTCACATTTGTCCTGCGAAACTTGCGTGTCATCAAAACCCTTAAGATTAAAATTACTACATCTACATTTACACATAAATCATCATAAAATACATTTTATGCCTCACGTACAAGTGGGCAGATTTACAACAAAGAAGACATTAAGCTCGATTAAAGTTCCAATTACAAGAAAAACGACATACAGAGTGAGGCATATTACGCCCGTCTTCCAATTTAACCTAAATTTATTACATATTATTGTGATGTATAGTAATATTAACGTTGATAGTAGACACGCTGCGTTGTAGGCCAGGCCCGAGGAATTAATGTTAATCCAGTGACTTCCGTCAGTTTTGGGGTAGAAAAGCGTTTTGACCAGCCACGGTAAACCTAAGCAAAGTAAAACCTCAAAGTTGTTGGCACCCAAGGCGCTGCTCATCCCCATAATTCCTTGCCCTGGAACACGTACTTAGGTTAGCTAACGATTGAACGTTTCGCGTTCACTTACCTTGCTTACTGACGATTATGCAAGAGACTATTTCTGGAATACTACTGCCAATTGCTAAGAAAATCAAACCCATCACAGAGTCGGGAATGCTAATTGTGTCACCTGAAAGCAAAAGGTTATTGCGAAAAGATGTTTGCTGCATCCCTACCGATTGCGGTGATAAACCATGAAAGTAGGTAAGTCATTGATCCAATCCATGCAATGCACATGAGCAGTGTCAGTAGAAACATTGAGTGGTGTTTCTTGGTGTTGGGAATTGTGTATTTCAGTATGAACAAGATGGGCCAAACAAATATCCACCAGACTTTGTTAAACATCGAAGAATCCTTGGGAAATGTCCACACGTTCCACACGTACTCTACAATTGTAATGCGTTACAAACGGAGGATCCGTGTTAGGGGTGGTACGTACCAAAGTCGGAATCATCATCAACTGGTGGCGGCGCAGCTTTTTCTACATCAGGTGCAGGTTTCGGCTGCTCAACGTCTGCAATCGTAGTTTTGAATTTACTAAAAAAACACAAAAGAACATCTCTACCTTACTGTTGTCTACATGATTTTGCTGCGCCTTTTCGTTCAACTTTCCCAGCTCGTGCGCTGCTGATTCGGCGTCCCGAGGCATACAGAATCTGTTCACAGTCTTCTTCATAAACGTATTAAAGTAGAGAGCTGTAAACAGTTGATGAGAATTCGCCTGAAACCTCCCAGAGTCCTTACCTAGCATGTATACCGAGTAAAGAAGAACGAAGGCGAGCGCCTCGTACCAGTACACTTTGTCATCGCTAAGAGTAACAATCAGCAGAATCACAGATACCGCATATATCATGCCATCCCGGATTATCAGCCACCAATCAAAGTAGAAAGCCTGCAGTAGTAGATTAGCACCAAAAAGCCCACTCGCCTGTTTCTTACCGTTTTTGTAAAAAACCCACAGCAAACCGGTACCGCTAGAATATTGAAGACGTTCGAGCCCAACACCGTACCAATACCGATATCGCCTTCTGTTACAAACGTACCTACAAAGTTAATAAATATTTCCGGGCTGGAATTTGTAACGGCCATAAAACTGGCGCCCACCACATCTTCCGCCAAATTGAATCCTGAAATCTGGGAATGAGAAAAACCTCTCACAATCCTAAGGTACTTACTTTTCGCTATAACTTGGATGGCAGGTACGAAGTAGGCATCGCAAACCGTAGACAGTATAATGAACGAGTAAATGGTTAGAAACACATGAACCGCGACCCATCCCGATCTTCTTTGCTCCCTCGTTAGACCATCGCTGGGAAATTCGTGAATGGCAGCAGGGGTACAATTCCTATCATAGTGAATCTCATTGTTTGCGAGTAAGGCGTCTAAAAAGAAAACGTTCATTAGTCGGAAAACTTCGCAAAGTAATGTCACAATTATATTCCTAACAAAGCTTTACAGATTCTTTTATTACAATTTTATTGTGCATGACAAAGGTTTATTAGGTTATTATAGTAAGTATACGCGCGCATAGGAGCGAACGAGCAACGTAGATTCGTCTCAGTTTTTCAATTACACCAACAATCTATTAAATAAATTGACCTAATCCAATAATGCGTGGTTGATTGAATGATTGGTGACAGAGGAACTGGATAACCAGTCTCCTTTAACATCTTGGCGAGGAACTACAATCTCATGATTACATGGTGTCGAAATACTCTAATTAGCAATCAAAAAGAAAAAGCTCCCTTCCGGAAACCTTTGCACAGATGAAGTATAGCACCTCACCAAGGTGATTGTGTTTTCAAAAAAATGCCTGTTTTCGCTGTCAAGCTTAGGTATACATTTAAACAGCAGGTAAGCTTTCGGTTTCTCTTGAAAGCATAGAAAAGGACCATCATTCTAGACAGTCTATCTTCCAAAAACTATGGAGAAAAGCATATAAATGTTTAAAAGTGCCTAGGACGTTATAAAACCTTATAAGGCATTTAAAAAGAATATCCTTAAGTGTTCCAAATAGCAAATAAAAGCGCTTTATAATACATTTAAGAGCCTTGTAGTGTTTTTCAATTTCTCATGTGGATTTTTCAAAAAACCTCACACAACCCTTTCTGAAGACTACTTCTAGACCCTTCCGCTTATACGTAACACCCTGTATGCTGGGTTTTTTAGTACTTTACAGCGTTTTTAAAAATTCTGAAAGCTCTGTCAGAGATAATAGGTTTTTAGAAGTTCGCTAGATATCTTTACTGCCTTTACTGTACTGTGTATAAGTTCTTTAAGGAATCTCTAAAGAATGAGATGGTACTGAAACAGTAAAACCACAATTTTTCTTTGTATAGCCGTATGCACTTTTCTATGTGATTTCCAAACCGTGCAAAAACGTAAAAGTATAGAAGGATTCCTTGAGAAAGATCATAGAAAGCTATTGTTGTTCGACAGCGTTTAGTTCTACGCCCTCTAAAGAGAGTTTTGTGTCTTTTCCAAAACTATTAAAGGAGCCTAGATACGAAATCACCATCAATCATCTACTTTGTCAAACCCTTAAAACTAGTGAGTCTAATCTGATTTTGTAATGATATCATGCCCCAAATTTGACCTTTTAGATCAATAATATAGGTAGGTACTTTTTGAATTAAGGTTTTTGGGCGGTGTCTTTGAAAATTACATTTTACTGTAATATTGGAATGGTGACCTGCTCAATTAGCGTACCTACCATAATTTTTTAATGGCGTTTTTTAAAAGTCTGTTCAGCTAATTGATTTTGTTTATTAACTAAAGTCAATACCAGAGCATATGCTTCAACGAAGCAAACGAATAAACTACTAAGATCGATTAATACCTTCATAACGTTTGAAGTTCAAAATTCTAATATTCAGAAATGATTTTTAAAAATTTTTCAAATTTTCAAAAAAAATCCCAGTAAAATCGCTGGAGACAGCATAAGCAAGACTAGTAATTTAGTCAAATAAAGTGCATTATGAAATGCGAATTTGCACTACGTAAATAAAGAGAAATCTCATCTGCACGGGATTTAATTTCAATTATTTTATTGCATAAGTGCCTCGGCAAGGCACTCCCTGTATACCCACCTTCCTAATCTGTAGGCAAATACATTTTGATATCCGTGCTTTACTACGGCAAAGTAAAAACTGCACACAGTAGTTTTCAGAAGGCAAGGAAAAATAAACAAAGGAATAAACCAAAGCAACTGTACGATAAGAACGTATCTTTTAAGTGGAGGCATCGATTACTTACAATGTTGTGGGCAGATCAAGAATTCAAAACCTTTAGTGGGCAATGTAGTCTTCCTATTTTCAAATGGACACTTCACTTGGTCTTAAGGTGGTGTGCATCTTTTAATTAATTTCATCATCCAATAGCTTTTAATTCGTGAAAATGTGATTTATAAGAATTACGGTAAGATCACCTCGGTTTTATCTGCTGTTGTGATTAGATTATACCTACTCAAAGAGTAGGTAGACATGTGGATGTGGAAAATTTCTAAACGGCGAGTTTTCTATTGTTACCATTGAAACGATATCCTTCAATGATTCCTCTGAAAATGAATTCTGTTAAGCGCAATATGAAGTTCATTTCGCAGTTTTTGATTTAAACGTCTCGAAATAGTATCTACCCTTAACAGTCACTCATTCAATAGTCATCAGACGTTAAATAAAAAAAATCAGCAGTCCTTCAGTGTTGAAGATGACTCGGTACTCGAATTTTATAAGGGAAACTAAGAGTCTTTACGGAAGACCAGATCCTAGAAAACAAAAAAATTGCCATGGGACCAAGTATTCACCATGATCTGTGTGAGTTTGTAATAGCACCTCAACAGATCAGGGAGTTGCAGCCGGGGAGGAGATTTTTCAACAAACTGCCTCTCTCAGAGTAAGAAACTGGGGCACGCGCAATGGATACAAAGGTCAAATTGCGAAGGCGTAGGCCCAACCCCAGGAATTTAATTTGACGCTGAATTTTTTTAATGCATCTTGGAAAGTAAATTGTATTTAAACATGTAATGTTGGATCAATCTCTTGTTTGGAATGATGAATTGAATAATAGATAGGTCATTTTGCAATCAAGGTTGGATGAAATGAAACTTGAAAGTGTGCTCTATCTCCTGAAAAGTTAATACCACTGGATAAAAGTCTTAATACTACTTAAAAAATCAAGTTATACTTTGTATGGGGTTAGCTTTTTTTATATTTCTATTGTTATATACAAATTTAAGGGGAGTAAAAGCGTATTATTATTATTATTATATTATTATATAGGAGGTACCTACCAGGACTTTCTTATACCAGTTATATCCTTAAGAATACGTGTACCAGTTTTCAAAGCCGTTTCCGTTTGTCCGTCTGCCTGATAACTTGTTTAGAAACGTGTGATCGCTTTGAAAATTGGTACACATGGTCTTAAGGATATAAGAAAGGTCCCTATTTCAAGTAACGTGGACTATCGAAGCAAAAAGTTTCACTCCAGGATCGTTCGGTATTCAGTTGTATCGGATTTTTATATTTGATTTTGTGACAATGGAAACTTTCCCTAACCATTTCTAAATTGTTCTCAAATATTTGAATAACTTAAAAGTACTGCCTTTTTTTGAGGCCGGAAAGAAAAATGTCTGAGATCGACCGGGAAAAAACATTTTCTTATAGAATTTGGTCCGTAGAATCAATAATTTAAAACAGTTTGAAGATTGGGCTACTAGAAGTTACAGCCCTTTGAATATTCTTTCGAAATTGGTTTCTAGTCTATAACTTTTTATTGAGAAATCTGATCGAAAAAGTACGAATTGTTTTGGATTCTACGCACCAAAATTAATAAGAAAAAGTGTTTTCCCGAGAAATTTTGGTGTAGTCTATTTTTGGTAAAAAAGGAAGGTTATACACTGCCTTTTTTGAGGCCCGAAAAAAAAATTGTCTCGGATCGACCCGGAAAAAGATTTTCTTATGGAATGTGGCCTGTAGAATGCATAATTTCAAACAGTTCCAAGATTGGACTATTAGTTCAAAAGTTACAGCTCTTTGAATTTATTTTCGACATTGGTTTCTAGTCCATAACTTTTTATTGAGAAGTCTGATCGAAAAAGTACGAATTGGTTTGGATTCTACGCACCAAAATTAATAAGAAAAAGTATTTTCCCGAGAAATTTTGGTGCAGTCGATTTTTGGTAAAAAAGGAAGGTTAAGTATTCAAATACTATGCGAAGTATTCGAATACTTCTCAAAGTATTCAAATACCGTGCGAAGTATTCGAATACTAAATATTTGTGAAAGTATTTGAGTTACAAATACAAATACTGCTACCATAAAAGTATTTAATTACAAAGTATTTGAATACTTTAAAGGATTTGAATACTAAAAAGTATTTACAAAATCGAATACTGCCCAACTCTGATTATTATTAGAAAATATTGGAATATACAGGCTGGAAATTTTGTCTGGTACACTGAAGATATCTTCAAAACATTTTTTTGTTTTCTATGGTATCCAAAATTATAAAAAGTTTGCTACCAATCAACATTTTTTAAAATTGTGGTCATTGGCGCACGTTTGCAGAGGCAAGGGGGGCATATATATTTTTTAATAGCAGTCACTATTTTTTATTTCACATTAACATGCCACAGTTCGTAGTTTTTAAGTTTGTAATAGGAATTAGTAATTGCCATAAAAAATACGCTCCTCTTAACCATGCAGAAGTACGGTACTTACCACTGTGAGCAACGTTTTTATAATTTTAGATAACATAAAATACGTCTTCTCAAAAATTATAGTTTTAAAGGTGTGTTCCAGACAAAATTTCCACGCTGTACGTATCACCAACAAGGGAATTCTTTATAGATTGTACGTTTAGATCGTTCAAAATGTTTAGTTTTTTTCCACGTTACCCGGATTTATTCGCTTATTCTGATTTTTCAGTTTCTTCGAACTCTTCTGCTCCATATGTATCTCTACATAAGGTGTACTACAGATGAGAGATCCGTCGTTCATAACATTTACATCAAGAGGAGAGATCTCCTGTTCCTGCGGAACCAAGCGACTTGTTTCCATTTATTATTGTGCATATTCTCTAAATTAATGCAGTTAAAGGGCCGGGTAGAGTCTACTTTCAAAAATAAACTGGGAAATCAAAAGGGGTGAATTCATTTGAGACGTGTTAACCATGGACAAAATTTCAATTACTGGTAGTATTGTTCTTAACTCGATGTCGATATCCTTTGATACAACCTTTCTATCCCAAGTATGAACAACATTGAACACCATTACTGGCGCACAGCAGATAATGAAAAACCATTGCAATCTTCACAGAAGCTAGTGGGTGAAGATTCTGTATTTGGATTAATTGAAATTACCACATGTAAGCAACGTGGGATCATTAAGCACTATTTTATGAGTCAACATCCTTGAAAATATTTCAGTATAACACGATGAGTACTTCACTTCATTTTATCTCTCACTCATTGAGGTCCAAAGTTGAACAAATTGTGTTAATGAAAAAATTAGGTCTTAGTCCCTAACGTGTAATTTGCGAAATGTTCGGCTAGGGTTTGAAAATCACTCAAAGATCCATTTTTTAATTCTATGGACGAACTCTGTTGTGAGCCAAGTGGGTGCCTTTTTTTTTTTTAAAGAAATGTGCCTAAAATAAGAATACTCGAGCGCGTTGGTTGTAATTTTGCTTGAAATTTAAAAACCCCAATTACTAAATTATGCCTATTTAGGGCTACGCACTTAATAAGGCACTTCCGAAGAAAAAGAAAAAAGTACGTTACCTTCCGTTGCATTTTGATGAGATTTTGTAGAATTTTCGGCGCAAACTGTTACTATTAAACAAAACGTAATTATTTTAAGAAGCATATCCAAAACTCGGTTTACAGCACAAATAACCACATTCAATTGTGTAGAAACTCGACCTAACTGAAATTACTTACGCTTCTTTCATTTATTTGTATTCTGATAAACTTATTACTTACATTAAAATGGGGAGGTGTTTATTATAGATATGATTAATTTGATATGATAATATAATATACGTGTCGATTAGCGTTCGTAAATGCCTAGGTTGTATTACAACTTTCTTTAATTACACGTGCTTAATTTTCTTGTTGAGATTAATTGTGATTATGGCAATTATGGGATTATGATATAATTGTGGGAATTCGTCTTTTTTGAAAAGATCATTATACTATTTGTCTTTGGATTTAAAGATTACCGCCATGAGTCCATCCGGATTTGGGGATGAGGGTAATTAGAAAGATTGTGCGGTTTGAAATTTTACCAATTTGTCGTACGAGGAACTTCTAATTTAGGAAATATTGTAAATTAAGGTTATTTCGATGCAGGCACGTTCGATGGATCATCATTGAAGACCTTCAAACCTTAATTACGTGTAAATGACGTTAATTACTTACAGTACCCATTAGAGAAAGCGTGTAAATTCCTATAACCAATTTCCCCGTGACGTTTGTTTGTTTTGGCTCTTACCAACGCTCATTGTCAAAGAAGTCGAACAACATTAATACAGAAGGAGAGAATCATGGACAAGATATGAAGAATCGCACACGACTTTGAGGAGGGGAATTTTATCTGTAAATTTAAATTTAAAATAACAATACATAAAAAACAGGATAATAACAATTAGGTGGTTCAAAACATACCATTTTATTACACCAAATAGTTCTCGAGATACCTATTCGAATCTCGATTCGAATTCGAATTCAAATATCCACACATGCATCTAGGGGAATTTCTTTTATTTCCCAACACTCCCCTAAAAACGATCATTACTGGAAGACCTTTACATTGTACAAGATCATGAAATCCAGTTGAAAAATTGTATCACAAAATCATCAGGTTGTGTTGGTTTCTTAAAAAATCTTTTAATTCTACTCTTGGTTCGGATTTGGATTATTCGGTGCTTTTTAGATTTATTTGAATCTTGAACTTCTTCCATTTTCTTTCAATTTAAAAAAAATCTCATTTCCGCTTTTAATTCTACAAACTGTTCAGAATCTTGAGATCGCTTGTCTTTTGTGTGCCCCCAGATCAATCAAATGCTTCAGATTTTTCGGATTGTGCAAACTCTTTTATTTACCCCGATTGCTTCAAATGCTTAAGATTTCGCATTCTTCCGGACGCTTCAGATTCCTCAGACTATTCAGATTCTTCGGATTCTATCGCTGAATCTGTCAAAAGTTCTTATTCTCTACGTCAAATTTTTAAACTCTTCGGCTTCTCTTGCTTTATCCATTCTGCCAACTTTTTTTAAAATGTCTTCCTCAAATTTCTTCCAATTGACCTTAAGTTCGGGATCTTCGAATGCTACACCCCGCTGGACCTAGCCCCCCCCCCCCCACTATTGTTAATCAAGAATTGTATCCAATTTATGGAGCTTTCTTATCGCAAGCATAAAATTTTGCGCTCGCTTAAATCACTAGGAATCTAAAATTTCTTATGGGGTGGCCGAGTTTACTTGGATTCAGCCCCCCCCCCCCATTGATTCGAATTACGAGGTATTTAAGAGTAATTGCCATTCTTGAGGGCCACTTTAAAAAGAACCCGAATGTAGCTTTGAAGTTGGAGGACCATTTCCTGAGACGACCACATGAGAAACGATGTGGAGTAATTTTTACTTGTTTGTCGGTGAGGGTAATACATTTGGACCTAATAAACGACATGTCCATGGCAGATTGTTTGATGGCAGACAAAATATTTACTAATAGAAGAGGATGTCCAAAGATGCTTCATTCATATACCTAACGGAACGAATTTCTGCGGGGTAGGGGCCGAACTAAAGAGTGCATGTGACGCTTTGGATGTCAAAAAAATCCGATGATCTGAGTGTAGAAGGAATACGTTGGGAATTTATTCTGCCAGCTTTGCCTTCGGTGGGAGGTGCGTGGGAGAGTTTAATTCGATCGGCTAAAAAAGGTTAGATTCCCACAGAGGGCGTTTTGGCTGCAGCTCTTATAGAGATCGAAAATATGATAAATTCGAGACCTTTAACGTACGTATCGGTGGACCCAGAAAAAGAAGAAGTCTTAACACCGAACCATGTCTTATTGGGCAGAATTGGGAACCTAAGACCACGGAACGTCATTAGCGAGAAAGATTTAATATCCGGAAGACAATGGCGAAGAGGAAAGGAATTAGTAAATGAATTTTGGAGTAGATGGGCGAAAGAGTGGGAAAACCTTATCCAGGAAACGATCGGGTTGTGCGGATACTTAACGTGAAGACCCAATTTGGAACCTACCGGAGACCAGTATCCATTGTGGGTCACAAGTTTGATTGAAGATGCATTCATGTGGCTTGTCCTTCTTCCTTCTTACCATTGTTTCCTCATTTTCCCTTTTCCCCTTTCCTCTTCTTCTCTTGTCTTCATTGTATTCCCCCCTTTCTCTTTTATTTATTAAGTATTTCTTTTTCTCATTTTTTTCTTTTTATGTTCCCTCCGCTTTTTACATTTATGATACATGCTTCATCTTCTCTTTGGGCTTGCACTGCATCCATAACAGATCCACAATCAAAGCGCAACTTAATTAAATCTTAAGGTTTTTGAGCGATTTTTCATACCATTTGATAAACAAAATACAAAACCTAGCCCTTATTCTAAAGAAAAACACACTCTAACAGAGTTCCAGACGAATTTAATGAGAAATTAAAGTAAAATTTTACCATACAACCATTTTGGGTTGCCGCCTTGTACAACACACAGAGACTTTCCTTATTTTCTTCCAAGTTTTCCCAAGACCTTCTCAAGTAATTCTCAAGTTCTCTCAAAGTTGCTTAAAAATCATTTTGAAATTCGTTTCAAATTTTCTCAAATCATTGAATAAATAATTTTCATTCAATGCTCAAATTTACCTCATGTTTTCCCCTTCCCTTACTTGAATTTTCTTCTTCCCATCAAGTTTTCCCTCAAATCTCAAGGTACCGTTTAAGTTTTCTCTTAGTTACCTACCCACAGGCGAGTTGAATCGTTTAATCCCTTAGAGAAGAGGCAAGGTCCTTGTATACCATGATTTTTTTATGGGGCTTACCACATGGTTTGATGATTAGAGAAGCCAACATGGCCGTCGGTGCAATGCATTGGGAAAATTAATTGAACCCAGGACTTCCAACGGAGAATCGCTGTAGTTTTGTAAGAAAGAAAAAAGTGCTGATATTACCTTATTAAAAGGTGGCTCCAGATATATTTTTTCACTTTCAAGTTAATTGATTATTCACTATCACTTCCGCCGAAAACCACACGGTCGATTACGTCTACTGCCTGCGTAGGTTTCCCGCTTGCGTCTTCGACATAAGAAAATGATTCTACAAGCTGATGACAGATTTTGGCTGGGATTCTGCTTCGCGATTCTCGCGAACGTCCTACTCGCGATTACCTACACGGTGAAGAAGAGGGCTCTAACACCAAGGCATTACGTGTCTCTGGACGAAGAAGGTGAGAAGCACATACATTACAAGGACGGGGTGTTCTGGGCGTACCTCATTTTGCGTAAGTTGCACAGCCGATTTGAGTTTCGTATTGATCGTGCTTTGTTGCAGTGCTTATATCGGGGGTGGTCAATTTCGTGGCGTATTCCATGGCCCCGGCGTTTCTCGTTGCCGCCACCGGAATAGTCGGGATGTTTCTCACATCGGTTTCGTTTAAGTTGTACTTCGACGAAAAGTACAACCACGTTAGCGGGGTAAGACGACTATGCAAGTCGAAGAGGCGTGTAACGGTCTAGTTTTAGCTGGGAGTGTGCTTCGCAATTTTGGGATTGGCCATTATGGTGCTGAATTATCCAAGGGGAGAAGTTTCGATGAATATTTTGGATTTGGCTTCGCTAATGTATACCAGTGGATTCGTTTACTACGTTCTTGTAGTTATTCTTCTCTGGCTGATAACGGCGGGTTTCATTGTACCATCATGTCAAACCAAAAACGTTTCAGTGTACATAATATTTACGCTGCTAGCATACTCTTTCATAGGCAGTGCCACGATAATCGCTTGCAAATGTGCAGGTTACTCCATAAAGTATCTGATCATCTATGATGAAGCTGACCAGACAAATGTTTTGTATATGCTTCTTTTCTTAGTAACAATGTTAGTAGGACTTTGGATTCAGGAGTACTACATGGGAAAATTTTCAGAATCATTCTCCTCTCCTGGCGCATTGCAGGCGATTTTCTTTATTTTACGCACCGCTTTAGTAGCCGTCTTTTCCGAGTTTCTATTTAATGAATGGTCTCATGTACACGGTCTGAAGATAGCTGGTGCATCGCTAGGGTTTGTGTTAATTTGCGTCAGTGCGTTGATGCACCCTCTCTTTTCCGACCTTAGCTTTGATGACACTATCATAGCTGATAAATTTCGACCCAAGTAAAGCTACCCTTAGTTTTATTTTTAAGTACATTATAGCAGAAATTTGAATTGTTACAATAAAGGAACCATATAAAGGAAGTTTAAAAAAAGGAATCCGTCGAATATTATTATTTGAATATTTTCTCCAAAGTTGTGCCTTCACGATCCTATACATTTTAGAAAAACGTTTGTTGTGAAAAACACTTGACTTTTTCACTTACGCGTTTTTTCTTCAGAAAGGTAAAAACACAAAAAAAAATCTTCATGTAACAAATATATATATATTTAAAAAAATAAAAATACATTCTTTACGTAGTAACAAATAACATTTATTTCACAACTTACAAATTTCCTCTTCTCTCTTGATCAATTTCAATAGCAGTGAACAAGGTTTTGAAATTTCCAGCGCCAAATCCCTGTTAAATGCGAATTAAATACAGTTGCATAAATTGAAACTCACATTAAAGTTTCGCCTTTGAATAACCTCCAAAAATACAGTTGGCCGATCCTGCAGGTTCTTGGTGAAAATTTGCAGTAAGTACCCATTCTCGTCGTAATCAATCAAAAGGTGCAAGTCCTAAAAATCTCAAGTGAAGGCACTCGGGAGAATTTCTATTTTACCTGTAACACGCTGATGTCTTCGGCCACTTTAACTTTGCTGTGCTTGAGACGTTCCCTGATCATGTCGTAGTAAGTATCGGGCACTTTGAGAAACTCTACTCCTCTAGTACGAAGGTTTTTCACCTTTGAAAGGAGGTTAGTGTACGATTTACAAACGGGAAAGATCACTTACTGCCGTTATTATATCTTGGGTGTTGAGGGCGATGTGTTGCACGCCACCTCCTCCGTAGTAGTCCACGTATTCCTGGATTTGACTTTTCTTCTTACCATTGGCGGGCTCATTGATTGGCATCTAGAAGATGAGGTGCAGAATTCGGGCGACGCGCCTACGATGCTTACCTTGATGGTCTCATCCCAGTTGGCCATAACGATAGATCTTAAAGCTGAGTATTCGGTGTGGATTTGCGAGTCGTCCACTGACCAGAACCTGTGAAACTGCAACATGGTCTCGTACCATTTAGCAACTGGTTCCATGTGCAAGTCTGGTTGGTTTCCCACGATGTGGTCGATAAAGTCTAATTTTGTGGTGGGTCTGAAAAGTGTACTGTAGCTAAGATCGACGGTTGGGCACTTACAATAGCTTGTTAACGGGATCAGGTGAGAGCTTCTCGTATGAAGGTAGAAAATCGCCTTTGTACGCGCTTTTATCGATGAGGGTGTGCGTGGTGTCTCCGTACTGGAATTAGAAGGTTAGCATAGGTATACCTTGGTGTTACTGACAAACCGTTTGAACAGTGGCGAATTTCACGGTTCCATACTCATCGGATTCTTTCCATATGTCACGAACCACTTTTGCTCCTCTTTGCTTGGCAACCTAAAGGGTGAATAATTAGCATTTGTGGCAAATCAGTGCAGCTGCTTACCCTAAGGATGTTGTCGAGGTCTTCCACTTCAAAACTAATGTCTTTTACGCCATCCCCGTGTTTTACGAGGTGCGCGTTCATTTCTTTCTGCGTTTCCTCATAGGGCGAAACGAAAACGAATATGATCTACAAATTCACTCACATGCATTCATTTTTTTTAATCAATTGCTCTTGGTACCTTATTTTGTTTGACAGCGTGAGCGGCGTACTCCCGATTTCCGGTCTCTAACCCCTTGTAGGCGAAGGGTTGAAATCCCATTCGGGTTACAAAGTAGCTGGATGCCTAAACTTCGTGTTAAAACTCGTTAGTCCATTACGCACTTTCTCACCTGTTTCGCGTTTCCCACATAAAAGGTTACATGGTGGAAACTTAAAAATCGACCCAGTTCAGGCTAAAAGAACTGATTAATGAGGGCGTGCGTTAAAATATAACTCACCTTAGGCCCTTTATCCGTATACGTCGTCTGAAACAAAGCATGTCAATTTCATAGGCAAATTTAAGAGTTGGGTACATACCATCGTAATCGCTTACACTTAAAATCTTCAACTGGTTGATATTGCGTGTTTCGCATAGTTTATATAATCTCGGATTAACAAGTTTATCAGCTTTAATTTAAGGTATATTAATTAGGTGAATATATTAAACTTCTTTGATTACCCGTTTTACTCCCAAGGCAATCTAGGCGATATATTGCATTTTTCACTAGAACATTCTGATACTGGAGGTGTGTTCGTATAACTGTTGGTTTTATTTCAGATTTAATTAAATGAATATTATTAGGGATTTCTTGCACGAATTTTCTTTATTCAGCTTTCAAAATGAAGCTTTTGTAGGGATTTATACAGTCTACTGGATCAAATAATAAGGTAGTTTGTATACAGTATAAAAAATGATTTGGAAATGAAATTGAGAAAGTTTGAGTTATGTAGTGCCCGGAATCTGTTGCTACTGAATGCGATTATACAACACTTAAGTATTGTGAAAACCAAGTACTCGCTCCCTGGATTTGGATTTGGTGTCATTTGGTATCATTGTTTGCTAGTTTTCATTTTACCTTCTAAATTCTTATAAGCCTTTTTTATTGAGGTGGAAAAAATGGGTGCTCAGATTTTTGAACACAGCAATAATAACATCTTTACCACTGTAACTGGCTAGTTATCAGTGGCGCACCCAGAAAAAAATTCGGTGGGGGTTATTGAAATTAGTAAATCCAAAATGTTAACATAGGAACAACGTTTTTCCTACGATCGTCTAATTATTTTAATTAGAATCGTTTAGTTTTGTCACATGATTTGTCAAGATTTGAAACTGCTAATTTATTGTGACAATCAAGTTGCATGGTTGCTATGGATTAAACATGCAAATTATAGTGCGCGAATTGATCACTTTGAATGATTAATTCATAAACGATTGTAGGAAAAGATTATTTTAAAAAAATCCATCAGTGCTTAATTTGGGGGGGGGGGGTTAACCCTGAAAACCCCCCTATGGGTGCGCCACTGCTAGTTATACGCTTATAGGGGTTGAACACCGAGCGCTCCTAAAATAAAATTTATTTTCTACGGCACTGGTAAAAATTTACCGTAACAATACATGTTTTGCAATGAAATAATTTATACCACGGCTAGTTAACTGATAAATAAACCCCTAAAGCGGATCTAAAAAAGCGACAGAGCACCTCGGTGTGACCCTACGGAGTCATTGGATTTGACCTATTTTCAATAGGCTTGTTATATGTGGCATATAGGTCAACTGTGCAAAATTTGAACCGAATAGGTTCAAGCGTTTGGCAGTTATCGTGTCCACGGGCGGCGAGACGGACAGACGGACACCGTCGACTCCCCCATAAAGCTTGCATCGCGTTGCTCAGCAGCTTAATAAATCCCTATATCGTGAACACGTTTTCAACCTAATTAAATTTCAGGATTTTTTATATTTTTACTCAAAATCGTCCTGAAACCTTTATTTTCATGCCTCCTTTCTGTCAGGGAATTTTAGTTTCCATGACAGAGGCAGAGCAGACTACGTTTCCTGCCGTTTGTCACTTTACTGGCCGCACCGTTACCTTACTGACCGCATTTTTAATATTTCCAAATGTCTATAATGACTCCTGTCATCACTAACAGATTGACAGTAATCAAAGTTATATATAAAAATTGAAATTTTGTATTATGAGACGGTTTCGGGTATAATTAAATACAAAACTCGTCAGTAAAATATCATTTCTTGGCTCGGAAATTAAGTACTCGCACTTCTATATTTCCTCACCAGTAATGTGTCATTTTCCTGACTTTTATGTAAATAACTATTAATTAATCAAAACAAATTTACACACCTCCTGGATGCTAAATAAACATTTAAAATCCACAACCAATAAAATACTGGACTGGAAATTCTAAATTTACCAAAAAAAAGGAAAATTTCCTCTATCTTTGCCTGAGTATACTTATCATTTATAAAACGGCCAACTTCTATTTATATACAATACAAAAATTCAAAGGAACTTACCTTTATCGACACGTTGAACTTTTATCCAATTGTCAGATGAATTTCTTCTTTGTAAGGCAATTTAGAAAATTGGATAGTGGAACTCTTTAAACAATACGAACAGACTTTCCGTCTTACCTGTTACTTGTTGAAAATTGCTTTTGAAAGATTGTTGTCGGAATTAAGGAATAAACCGTGCTTCAGGCTTACTTTGACTTAATTGGTTGAACTTTGAATTATCCACAATAATAAATTACCCCGAAATGTACAGGTATAAATGTCAAAACAAAACCTTAAATTAATTGTCATTAACCTTTTCATCGGTAGCCGTTCTGTTCCTAAATTTATTGCACTAATTATAAACAAAATTGATGCATAACTTTAATAAATAAATGGTTTTTTTACGTAACTTGGTCCAGATTTTTTTCAATACTTCTAGGGTCGTTCGATTTTTTAGTTTCTTCAAATTCATTAAGTTCTACAGATTTCTCTGGATCGCGCAGTCTTTTGATTTTTTCAAATTTTTCCGGCCATGAGATACTTGAAATTCTTCACTTTCATCCAATTCTGTAGGTCCATCTGATTTTTTTTCGAGACTCTTCAGGCACTTCGAATACGCAGGGTTCAGGCCCTTGGGGTTCTTTAAAAACTTTCCACTTCTTCGGATTCTTCCGCTCCGTGCCAAAAGCGGTAGCCCCTGGACTACTTTCTCGAATCTCGATCACTTCTTTAATTCCGTTTGTAAATGGGAAACTGTCGGTATATTGTAAATATCCATGACCTTAAAAGGAGGTGTGCGCTCTAGATTATTCATATTCTCTCAAGTCGTAAATAATAAACAACACTACATAGATACTCTGTTTACACTTCTTTATTATTCAATGTCACTTCCCCAACATTTTTTATTAAGAGAATCAGGATAAGTCAATTTACCAGGAAGAAATGAATGCAGTATAACCAAACGGGTATAAGTTTAATACGCATGGATCATGTTAAATAGTTGATTATGCTAATTTTGTTTACTATTTGATATAAATAATAAGTCGGACTAAAAAATAACGCAATCAATAAATTGATCCATGTTTATGAAATAGATACAGGCATTTTCC